ATGATGTGTTATTCTTTTCATGGATATTTTATTGAGGCTAGAAACCCTAAAATTCCATTATTTTGAAATTGATTTTATCATTTAATTGATATTTTTACATGTTGCTTGTTTAACTCTCTGTTCATTTCTTAGATGTGTTTCTCGGGGCAATGTGAGAGATCTGATTTGAGGAGCTTTCTTTCTTAGTGCTACCTTCGGTCTTGATTGTAAAACTTCATTTATAGACTATAAATGAGATCTTATAAATAGGACTGGAGGTGGTATTCTATCACTAAAATTTTCACTCAATTCTATTTTGAATTATTGTGTGGTATAACATCGCCTCTAAAACATATTTTAAAGCATTATATCAAAAGCATACAAACCTTTTTCTACAAACTCAAGTCGAACTAAGAGTCTAGTGAAAAATTTTGCTTTCAAAATACACTTTGTTCTAAATTATATTGAAAAATTCCAATTAACAACGATTCTGTGGAATTTCTTTTCTTTGATATGAACAAAAATTTGTGTTTGTATGATATAAGCAAAGTTATATTGATATTATTCAAATGACTGATTTCAATTAAGATAATTAAGATTGTTTTTTCCCCCTTTTAAAACTGTATTAACGATTGCAGGGTATTGTAGGGTCTGATCATGTTTCAAGCTCATTTGATGCGAAAAACAGGTGTGCATTTATAATATTCATTCAACAATGGAGCTCTCAATAAACCAGCACAACATGGAAGAGGGAGAACCAATCATGCTGAATGATTCAAGTTTGCTTTCCCACCAACTTGGGAGGGACCTTTCAATCAATTGTCTGGTTCGATGCTCAAGATTTGATTACACAACACTCGCCTTGTTGAATCCGGATTTTCACTCCCTTGTTAAGAGTGGACTATTATATCGTCTAAGGAGAAGGGAAAATATTATAGAGTATTGGGTTTACTACTCATGTAGCTGCCTTGAATGGCCTTTGACCCAAATGGTAGCCATTGGAAGAAGTTGCCCAAGATACCTTCAAATGATGAATGCTTTGAGAGTTCAGATAAGGAGTCATTGGCTGTTGGCACGCAGCTTCTTGCTTTTGGAAGGGATGTAATGTCTCCTATCATCTACAAGTACAACATTTTAACAAACATTTGGTCCTCAGGCATGTCAATGAATACTCCTAGGTGTCTCTTTGCCTCTGCCAGCCACCATGAAGTTGCTTTTATAGCCGGGGGCTGTGATCCACTTGGGAATATCATAAGCTCAACCGAGCTTTATAACTCAGAAACAGCAAAATTTGAGATTCTTCCAAGTATGAATAAAGCCAGGAAGTTGTGTTCTGGTTTTTTCATGGACGGGAAGCTTTATCTAATTAGTGGGATTGGTGAAGGCGACATGATGCAACTTACCTGCGGAGAGGAGTTTGACCCAATCACAAAAACATGGAAGCTAATACCTAATATGTTGCCAAGGCGAATTGATGGAGTTGTGAATTTAACAGCCCCTCCTAACAAGGCACCTCCTTTAGTTGCTAGTGCAAACAACATATTATAAGCTGCAGATTATGGAGAACAAGTGGTAAGAAGATATGAGAAAGAACAAAACTCATGCGTCATAGTAGGGGGACTGCCTGAGCGAATGGCTACAGTAAATGGTTGGGGATTAGCCTTTAGGTCTTGTGGTGATAATCTGATTTTTATTGGTGGTATAGATGGAAGGATGGTTAAGGTACATTCTTGCAGCACACAGCAAGGTGAAGAACTATAGTGGAATCTACCTGCTAGTAATGAATCAAGGAACTTTGTGCTTAATTGCACAGTGATGGGGTGCTAATGGTTTTCAAGGGTATTAATATGTAGTTTTTTCTTTTCAGGTAGATGAAAATCAAGTAGTTTGTAATGATCTCTAGCCTTTTTCTAGCTTTGACATAAACAACTTCAAACCTTTTACATGTTGTTGATGTTGACTTTTTCTTTTGTTCCTTTTATTACTTGTTTCATTTCAATTAGGATCATTCGGGAATAATTTACTCAGACATTCTATATTGCAAGGAAATGTGTTCATATTAAATGTTATTCCTGTATCTGTGTAGCTAAGAAGCTTTGGCAGATATAGCATACATGCAGCCACATTAATATGTTAAATGCTACCTATAGCTTGGCATAGCTATCTAGCTATAAACCTCTAAATTCATTTCACTTAATTGATTCTGGGACGAGTACAAGCTTTTAGGAGAATTCCGTCCTAAAAGTTAAGTATTGGAATTGACGGGTTTTGAAGAAAACCCAACTAATGTGGGGACTCAACAAAACCATTATCATTCTGTGATATAATATTTTGCTCCAAGGCATCCAAAACTTATATGCAGGCAATATATCCTAGTGTTGATCCATCCATGTCTTTTATCAGCTTAACTCTTTTTGTTTGCATATTTATGAACTCATCATTACGACTAAGCTACTGTTCATCATTGTATCGAGACATTCATGGATGACGATTACTGAATATTGAACAACAATCAAACATTTTCAACTAAAAGAAAGATCTTTAACTATAAAAGGCCAATAAGAAAGAGTTTGAGATGAATACCAGTAATTGGATTTGATTTTAGTATGAATAATAATTAGTGCACTTAATAAGCATAGACTTGTATGCATACTTCGAAATGAGATGAGAAAAATTGTTCAAACGCATGTGTGTTTGTGACCGTAAAAAAGGGAAAATCGTATTGCGATATATTTGTCATGGAATTTCAGATAGATTTGTCATGGATTTTCCACACGCTTAGGCCTTTGTGATTTGACTCTATGTGGATTGGTCTGTCACGAATGTTGTGGTTGCAAAGTAAAATCTGTCACGTTTTTATAATTAATTTTTGTCCATCACAGCTAATTTAATAGCAACACAAATGGTATAATGGGTTATAAATTTGGATCTTCATTCAATTCTCGTTACAGCGTGTGCTTATCCTGCGGTGAAATCTTAACAATCCAAAATTTGATCTAAATGGTATGAATTTAATTTTTAATTTGCAATTTGAGTGATAAAAGAAAGCAAATAAGTTGGGCCAGTTTGTTTAAAATTAAGAAAAAGGTGATTTTGATTGATTAAATACGTGGAAGTACGTAGTTGAAGGTTGTCATCTGGCCCAAAAAAATTAATTCACTTCTGACTTATTTTAATTAACTAATCAACCAAAATTATTTTTTAACTTAAAAAGAAATTTTCGTAAGCTTAAAAATTAGAAATAATTAGTCAGCTTAATAAACATAGACTCGTATATATACTTTGAAATGAGGAAAAAAATTTAAATACACAAAAATACATGTGGTTACATAATTTTATCCTAATATTTTTAGTGATACAATCTTATCCATAATTTTTTAAAACAATTTTACCTCTTAATAATAAAATTGTAACAAAAAATTAGGGATAAAATTGCACTTTTACTCATATATATATATTGACTATAAAAAGAAAAAGAAAATTCGGGAAACATTCGCAATAGAATTTGAGACAGATTTTTTATGGATTTGTGAGGCATTGAGGCCTTCACAATAGAGTTTGCATGGATTGGTTTATCATGACGTTCTGGTCGGGGCGGGGGGACTTATCATGACGTGGTTAAAATAAGGAAAAATTAATCTTCAGTCTCTTAAGTATAATTCAGTTCCAAAACTTTTGATTAGTTTAAAACTTAGTTCCTGAAATATAGATCGTTCATGTTTTTTATCCTTTATATCAATAACTCATTTCCACTCAGCATTGAGTCATCCTAATTGGCCAAAAAATTATGACTCAGCATCCGCATCACATCATGAGTCAGCAGGAAAACAAAATCGAATGAGCTTCAATCGAATAAGTCATCCTAATTTGAGGCGGCTTGTTCCTCTCTGTTCTGCAATATGGTCGAGCAAAGCAGAGAAGGGAGAGAACATGGGAAAGAGAATGGCAGAGATGAAGGAACGAGGAGAGTCGCGAGTTAAAGAAAGAGACAACTTTTCGGATTTTAAACCAAGGATTTGGGGCTTCTTGTTTTCTCAAAATAACTCGTTAAAATGGATCACAATTCAGGTGTGGACTTGTTTGCTCACATAATATATGTTTAATATGGATCGATTTGAGTCAGGAAGTCATGAAATTGCAGATCGAACAATTTTGATCGTAGATGGGAGTATTGAAATCTATGCATTTTAGACCTTATTTCTTCTCAATAATCAATGCTTATTGCTGTATTAGACCTTTAGAACACTGCGTAAATGACACTATTTTCATAGACCAAAGCTTCAAATTGACTGAGAAAAAAAAAAAAAAAAAGAACCATTGCTTCTGTGCATATTTTGGGGCCAAATTGCTTTGATTGAATCATTAAATCAAACCATACCTAAAGGACTGTTTGGGAAAAAAATTTCGGGCCTTATATGGCCTTGAGATTGCATTTCACGAGTTTTTGGAAATCACCAATGGCGGATTCCATCCATTGTTGACGTGACCTGAAGAAGAAGCAAGCGACTACGATCCCGAACTGCTTCCCCTCCCCCTCCCCCGGGGGATGCTGAGTGATAATGTTTTTTGCCTACTAGGATGACTCAGTACGAACTCGGAAATGAATTATTGATGATAAAAGATGAAAATATAAATCATCAAAGTTCAGGACTGAGTTTGAAACGAATTGAAATTTGAATGATTAAATTTTAATTGAGTCAAAACTTTAAAAACTAAGTCATACTTTAAGGGACTGAGCTTTCAATGAGTTGAAAGTCGAGGGATTAAAAAATTAATTTTTTTAAAAATAAATATAAATAGTCAACAGACTTATAGTAATTTGTTTATGCTTGATGAAATAAATTCAGTACTCCCATAAGCTTACCAAATATACTTTAGAAATCGCTTCTACTTTCATTTCTATAAACAAACCTCTATACTACCAAATAGGGCATAAGATACATCTCCATAAATACACCCAAAAAAAAAAGCCAGAGTAAAAGCTAATAAATGCTAATAAAATAAAAGCCATACAATCAGAATAAATATATACGATAAAATTAATGATAATCTTGCACAAATGAGCAGTTTGCTAACCTCACAGAACTAGGGTGGAAGTTAACATTTCCATACATTACACATGACTATAAAATAATTTATACATTACATGCAAATTTGCGCAGAAATTTCATTCTCAGGTATATTGCTGTTACTGGGAATTAAGAAGGGTATGTTGCTGTTACTGGGAATTAGGAAGTAATTATATGTTCCTCCAGTCCTAAATATAATACCCATTTTGTAGCATAATTTACACTATAAAGCGGGTCTTATATTTAGGATGGGAGGAGTAATACAAACAAATTGAAAGGGGGCCTATAATTGAAGTTAATGATCTAATCTAACAGAAGACAAGTGAGCTAATGACCCCCACCATTAGCGTCACACATAGGCTTGACTGTAATATTTTACCAGCCTGAGACTCCAATCCTGCAATCAGCAAACAAACTCCAGTAATGATTATAATCCTTAGAAAATGATACGTCTTAAACAAACTAGTGTCGGTCCCATAATTACATGGAGGCAAAGGAATGAAATTTACTGTTCATAATTTATGAATAGTGTGCCCTATTAGAATTTTTATTTAAAGTCAATACCATCTTTAGTCCCTGAAATTTAATCTCATTTTTGTTTTGATCCTGAAATTTGAGATCAATGGTTTTGAGCTATGAAATTTGATCTTATATTGGTTCACTTAAAGATTTTAAGTTATTGGAACAGTGGTTTGAGTCCCTAAAACAAGGTTTCAAGGACTAAAACCATTTGTTTCAAATTTCAGGAAGTGAACCCTTTCATTTATATATAGATTTTGTCATCCATTCATTGCAGATAAAAAAAATTATTCTTAACAAATCTGAGTTTCCTCCATATGCATACTAAATGATCAGAGTTTCTTCAACATAATGATTCGATTTGAATTTAAAATAATTCTTCGGGCAGTATGGTCCATTCATTCATGTACTCTACCAACTAAATTCAGTGGGAAGAAATCAAACTGTCCAAATAATTAAAAAAAAAAAAAAACGAAGTAATTGTTTTAAACTCTAGGCTTTCCAGTAATATGTGCCTAACCCAAATTGATCATATATGACCAGAATTTCTTCGGGACCAGATTATGAAGTCTCACAAATCAATCACTTTAGGCTTCTCATTTTTTGATAAATTGCAACGCGTACATTTCTTAGAAAATGCTTCCTGATCTTTCCCAAGCAAGCAGAAAGCTGGGCTTCTTCGAAAAGCCCACCTATAGTTTCTTCTTTCTTTTTCCCCTCAATGGTGCATTTGCCTTTAGAAGATTCAGAAACTCGAACTTCAAAGCAAAAACTACGTTTGCAGAGGAAAAAAACAGATCTTAAGATGCTCTAAATAGAAGCAATCACTGACACCCGCTACTCTGTCTAGCACAGTTATATGACTACTCTAATATCAATCCAACTAGCATTGAGCACCTTTAATTTTAGGAAGAGAAAATAATATGTAAAGGTTCACACCTTAAACCAACACTAATTGAGGATACAATTCTTCTCAATGGCTGCGTTTGCTAAGGTTACCACTTGAGCTTCTTAAAGCTCCGGCCTGTCTTGATGTTACATATGTATTTTTCATCTAGAAGTAGTAATAAATTTAAACTATACATATAGTATTTAAAAGATAACGCTGTAACTTCATTGAATAAGAGTGATAATTTTAGAAGCACTAATGGAAACTTAATACTATGGTCCTCAAAAGAGATTTCGATTTTTGAGATTCTTAACCATCATTGATCCAAGTTATGGAAGTTTTAACTGTCATGTTCTCTTATGGAATACCATGGATGGAGCTATCTATCCATGATGGGAAGGGTAAATAAGCAGAGCACATGACTACTAATAGGAGGAAAGCAAACAGAGTCATATCCTTTCACAAATATGGTGTTTGCTTCCCCAAGGTTTGGTCCAAGGTGACAGAGGGAGACAGGCATGATGGAGCCAAATGGATCTGGATAAGTGCCGCATGCACTTCATGAGCTGATATGCATGCCGGATACCAGATTGATAAAATAAAAAGTGCATCAAATCCAGATCCCAGACAGATGAATCCATAGCTAAAATAACATACCCCAAGAAAACTTTCAGATTGAAAACACCCCTGATATGCATGAAGCATTCAGGCCATATCGGATTTAAGAATTCATTTCAGAATATCTCATAAACAAAAAATGAAAAAATATTGAAAAACAATAGGACAAAACAGAAAATCAGCCCACCTTGGTTTGGTCATCATTAAAAGACAGACGTACTCATAACGGGAGTGTTATATTTATTTCACTCCCATGTCTCATGGTATTGAAAAACTGACTACTATTTTCGTCAGTATGTCAGAGAAATACGTGATTCTTGTCTAAATTTGGAGATTAAATTCAACCAAGATCTACAACTAAATGGCATGTTTTTGACCGAATCTAAGAGCATACCTAAAATGAACTCTCGTCACACGTGTATACTATTTCTCAATGAATGCAACGAATAACTTCTTTTAGTTCTTAGCTATCCCACAGATTATATATTTGTCTATTCTTGGGTATTTTAGAAAGCAAAAAAATAGAAGGAAACTCCCTGAATTCTCATGATATTTTATGCATATGAAAGAAGGGATTAAATAGAAAAGTCATAAGACCTGTAAGAGATTAGACCTGTAATGATCAGATCTTCAGAAGAAAGTCATTACTAGGCATAAAGCCTTCAATGGAACTTAAGATCTTTGTTACCAAACTCCAACTATAAGAACAATTATTTCCCAAAACAAGGGACTGAGGCCAAGCAATCACGTAGAAAAGGAAATAAAAGAACATAAGCCAATTAATTTACTTACTTGAATATACTGGGATACTCTGCTGATTCCTGAAAAAGTTTTCTGGATCCACTGCTGTCTTAATCTTCACCAGCCTCTCAAAATTGTTATGGAAGTACTTGACCCCATAAACCTTCCCTTCTTCATAGCTATTCTTATCAAAATTGTTGATGCCAATATCAAGGTCCCTGTAATTAATGAATGCCCTCCTTGGATTCTTAGACACAAATGGTGTCATGTAACTATATAGTCGTCTAATCTGAGTTGTGTAATACTTTTCTGCTTCATCTCCAGGCTCATACCAGTTTATTGAATACTGAATTTTGTACAGATTCCCTACACGATGAGGAAAAGGCGTCGCATCAGATGAAATCTCATTCATTTTTCCTCCATAGGGATTGAAAACAAACCCTGTTTTTCCCAATTCAATCATCTTCTTCCATATATATTCCAACCCATCTCTGGGAATTGGGGTCTGCACATAATCAGATTTTCTTTTGAGGAACCATGCTGAGTCAGGATTTCTATCAAGCAGTTTATCCACTTTGGTGTCATTATCGAATCCAAACCACCATATCATTGAATCAGTCCAACTCATCTCAAGACAATCTTGCTTCTTCAAACCCAATACAGGAAATTCCTTCTCCAACAGCTTGACAAGTTCATCAGCCCTCCCAAGAAATGAAGCCAGAACTGAAGCTCTGATGGTTTTCGTTTTAGAAGAGTCAGATTTCACAGTCACAGGCTGCAAGAGCAATCTCATGAAAAGCCTATCATCCGTATGAGGAGCAACTTGCTGCCATTGAAAAACAAGACCAGTGGCATTCTCTTCCAAGGTCCTTTGAATCCTGAAAACCGTAACAATTTCTGGCACCTGAACCAACTTAACTGTATATGACAGAATAACTCCAAAACTTGCTCCTCCACTGCCTCTTATAGCCCAAAAAAGATCCTCCCCCATTGATTTTCTGTTAAGAATTCTACCACTAACATCAACAATTTGAGCATCAATAATATGATCAACAGAAAGCCCATATTTTCTCAGCATATTGCCGTACCCTCCTCCACTGAGATGACCACCAACACCTACAGTTGGACAAAGCCCAGAAGGAAACCCATGAACTTTACTTTTCTCCCAAATCTTATAGTACACTTCACCAAGCGTAGCACCAGCTTGAATCACCGCAATTTCATTCTGTATATCCACAGTGACACTTCGAAGATTGGAAAGGTCAATGAGGATGAAGGGTTCATCAGAGGTGTAAGAAATCCCTTCGAAGTCATGGCCACCACTCCTGATTCTGAGTCGAATCGAGTTGTTTTTGGCGCAAATTACTGCAGCCTGAACATGGGATTCTTGCGAAGGGGTCAAAATAATGGAGGGTTTAGGAGTAGAGGAGGCATTGAACCTAGCATTACGAATGTAGGCTCGAAGAAGAGAGGCGTAGGAGGGAGTGTTTTCAGTTTGAGCGAACAATATTTTTGATGATGCTTGGCCTTTAAATGGGGAATCGGCGTGGTTCGTCAGGCAATGAACAAAAGCGTCATCAGTTGCGTCTTTTGATTCTTCCGAAGAGACTGCCAATAATAAGCCATTGGGACTGAAACTGAGGCTGATAACAAGGAGAAGATGACCATAGGTGGTAAAATCAGGTTTTGCCATTGATTGTGTGGTTCATGTTTGAAAAATGCAATATTAAAATTGCATAAAACATATGGAAGGAAGATGCGCAGCACAAGTCATTCTGGATTCCTTCCATCAGATACTAAATGATATGATAACAGAGTAGAAGATTCTGGTTTTAAAAAAAAAAAAGTAGAAGATGGCTGATTTTTCTAGTGAGCCGTTGTTAATTAACAGAAATAATTTTTTTTAATCAGACTCTTATAAAAATTAGATTAGATAAAAATCAGTTAATATAATGTGATTTATATTTAGATTGGACTTTGTAAAAAAGTCAGTTTAAAAAATTACAACTTGTTTAAATAATAAATAAAAAAATAAGTTTATATGTAAAATAACTTAAAAGGATATAAATTTTATTAAGTAATACATATATAATATTATATATATAATGTGATCATTTTAAAAGAAGTATTAAAAATAAAAAAGTTTAATTTATTATTAGAAAAAAATAAAAAATATTAAAATACTTAATTAAATATATTTAATGGATAAATATATATATATATATATATTTAAAGCCAGAGAGATGTGGTTGCACACCTACGTTTGATTTTGTCTCATTTTTTTTAACCACAAATGAGAGAAAATACATGCAAGAGAGAGTCAGGATAGGTAATGCTCTAGCGGTATTGTTGAACACAGTGCCAACTGAAGGGGAAAAAAAAAACAACTCTGAAAAACTTACTGCAGAAGTCCATTTAAAGATTTAAAGACCAAAAGTTACGTTCCCAAAACATGGGTACAAACACTTTTTTTCTCTCACACCTTTAGCTTTTCCAGTTAGGATGCATGATTGAGTCCCGAGTAGCATCCCAAAGACCCAAACATCCCTTAAGACTCCACTTTTTCTTCTCCCGTTTTCTGTCCGAAGAAATCAATAATCAATAAAGTTTTAAATCCTGTTCTAGGCCATTTACTTGCACCTCGGCACAGAAAAATTCTTAAGTGAACCAGGTGTGCCACGTAAATCACGGTATGATAAATACAAAAATGACAAGTACAGCACATGGGTCTCACTACTCTCTTCTTTTTACCTCTGTATCTTGCTCTCCTTCTCTCTCTCCTTTTTGCTTTCTTCATGGTTGACAACCCTTCTTTCCCATTCTCTCCCTTCAACATATTTAAGAGGTGTTTGGTATTCTCAAAATCGCAGTTTCAGAAGTACTTTTTCACAAAACGAGGTAACCTCTTCCACATATTTACTTCGTAATCCGTAAAAGCACTTCTGAAGCCATGGTTTAATTTCTATCCAAACACCCCCTTAATTGGGAAAATGACACTAAGGTCTCATGCAACACAAAATACTACAAAAAAGTCCTAGGAAATTTGGTAATGATTCTGAAGTACCAAAGGGACTTGAGTGCAATTTGGTGAATTGTAAAAAGATGCCTCTATGCCTGGTGAGATGCATCTAAACTAACTCAAAGCTGCCCTGTTTTTCAGTCTGAAAATCAGCACTCTATACGCAAGAAGCAAGAGAGAAAAAACCCAAATTTCATTTTGCTTCTTCTCCCATTCCCATATGAAAATCTCATCCACTCTATTAATGTCAATCATTCGCTTGTGTTTTTGGTTTGGTGTGTGTTTGGTCATTCAAGTTGGGGTTTTATTATAGGTGGGTAGGGTGATTATGGGTGTTCTGTTTCTGGGTATATTGTGGGTGGATTGAAGGTGGGCTTGCTCTGTCTGGGTATGGTTCAGGGGGAATTGATGAGAAAAATGAAGGCTAGTATGATTAGAAACCCTTACTGCGAAATAGGAAAATATGTTGCCAATAAGGCCGCGACAGTTGTCAATATAGCTCCTTGACTTGTCAATAGTAACAGCATTGTACAGATTTACATTAACTGATTTTTTAAATTTTTTACACAAAGGCCATGACCTTCTGTACCCTTGACTCATTGGTAGAGGTCACAAAAAGAGGAAGAAGAGGTAACAAAGAAGGGTGAGTAGTTACATGAGGCAAAAGGGGGGAAAAAGCCACTTTGATCCTAGACAAATGATGGCAAAAGAAACTTTTCGTAAATAGAAGTGACAAATTTTTTTTGTGGATGTCACAACACACACAAATAATTAGTTTAATACTGGATATATGCAACTATATGTTTTTTTAATGGGGTTATAAAATTGGTGTAATTACATGTATATGAAATTGTAAATGAAAGTTAACTGTGTATTACATTCTGATGCATAGTTGTCATTATCCGCACCCTTCATTGTCAATATATGCTTCGTCACTTGTCACTCACTGCACCATCAGTTGTTAATTAATGTGCTGATATAAATTTAAAAAAAATATGATTTTCGTTACATAATGTTATACAACGTCATACAATATCACTAATTCCTCAAAACTAATCCATTTTTTATAATGAGATATGGAATAGTTATTAAAAATCAATCATCACTGATATAAAGTCATAAAATCACTTGTCATAAACAACATATTCACTTGTTAATGGTTTTGCTCTGTTCTGATATTAGTTTTGTAGCAAAGGAAGAAAAAGATGAAGGTCAGTGTGGGTAGAAACTCTTAGCATGAAATGGGATATTGTGTTGTCAATCAGGCCGCGATAGTTGTCAATGTGTGCCACGACAGTTGTCAACGTAGTTCCTTGACTTGTCAATGATAGTTGCGTGATTCTTGATGCACATTTAAATTACTGATGTCGAGTACATCTGGAAAGCATCTATTTTGTTTTGTTCACATAGGGAGAAAGTTTATAAATGATAGAGAAGATGATATGAGATATATGGGAGGTAGTGTAAGAACAACAATATAAAGGAGGGCACAAGTTATGAAGAATTGAAGGAAATTATATCATCAATTGTTGGAACAAAAAATAACTCATTTCTTTTGAAATTCTCAGTTGTGTATAGCTCAACAGCATCCAACGTAGAAATTAACAACCTGAGTTATCCAAAATAACAAGTAATATAACAGGAGTTAATAACAAGTGATATAACAATTTCATAACAAATGAATGTGTGGATATTAATAATTAATATTCAAAATTTTTACAACTGAAGGTGTCATTTATTTATAATGTTAAGTGATATCTGTATTAAAATATAATTATTAAGAAGAAGGTATTACTCAAATTTATGTTCAGTTGGTAAGAGACAGTGCCTTCATTAACAAGTCACAGTATTCTATTGGCAAATCACAGTGCCACCATTGACAAGTCATAGTGTCACCATTGACAAGTTAGTGTGCCACCATTGACAACTGATAATCCACTGCAGCATCTGACCATATCTGTCGCAGCACCCCCATTTGTCCCAAGGAGTTGCCATTCTGTGTAAGGCACCGTGGCGCCTAATCATATCCACCGCAGCGCCCAAACCTTTCAAAAAGTTATTCGGTGAGCAACAAGTCACAGTGCTACCATTAACAAGTCAGTGTGCCACCATTGATAAGTCATAGTACTACCATTGATAAATCATAGTGCTTCCATTGACAAGTTATAATGCCACCATTGACACTTCATTAATAATAATTATATATGACAAATTAATCAGAATATAATATGACAGAGTAATTGAAAATATCATATGATACTAAAATAGGTTATGTAACTTGAATTTATAGTTGACAACTTACATCAGCAAATTAATTGACAAGTCACAATGCTCCATTGATAAGTTATAACATGTCTAATAATAATGCAGGGTGCGGATAATGACAACTGAAATGACAGCAGAATCTAACATGCCAAGTTACACTGAAACCATTAACAAGTGAATATGTTGTTCATGATAAGTGATTTTATGACTTCATATCAGTGATGATTGACTTTTAATAATTATTCCATATCTCATTATAAAAAATGGATTAGTTTTGAGGAATTAGTGATATTTTATGATGTTGTATAACATTATGTAATGAAAATCATATTTTTTTTTAAATTTATATCAGCACATTAATTAACAACTGATGGTGCAGTGAGTGACAAGTGACGAAGCATATATTGACAATAAAGGGTGCGGATAATGACAACTAACTATGCATCAGAATGTAATACACAGTTAACTTTCATTTACAACTTCATATACATGTAATTACACCGATTTTATAACCCCATTAAAAAAACATATAGTTGCATATATCTAGTATTAAACTAATTATTTGTGTGTGTTGTGACATCCACAAAAAAAATTTATGTCACTTCTATTTACAAAAAGTTTCTTTTGCCATCATTTGTCTAGGATCAAAGTGGCTTTTCCCCCCCTTTTGCCTCATGTAACTACTCACCTTTCTTTGTTACCTCTTCTTCCTCTTTTTGTGACCTCTACCAATGAGTCAAGGGTACAGAAGGTCATGGCCTTTGTGTAAAAAATTTAAAAAATCAGTTAATGTAAATCTGTACAATGCTATTACTATTGACAAGTCAAGGAGCTATATTGACAACTGTCGCGGCTCTATTGACAACATATTTTCCTATTTCGCAGTAAGGGTTTCTAATCATACTAGCCTTCATTTTTCTTATCAATTCCCCTTGAACCATACCCAAACAGAGCAAGCCTACCTTCAATCCACCCACAATATACCCAGAAACAGAACACCCATAATCACTCTACTCACCTATAATAAAACCCCAACTTGAATGACCAAACACACACCAAACCAAAAACACAAGCGATTTTTGCCAATGATTGACATTGATAGAGTGGATGAGATTTTCATATGGGAATGGGGGAAGAAGCAGAATGAAGTTTTGGTTTTTTCTCTCTTGCTTCCTGTGTATAAAGTGCTAATTTTCAGACTGAAAAATAGGGCAGCTTTGAGTTAGTTTAGATGCATCTCACCAGGGATAGAGGCATCTTTTTACAATTTACCAAATTGCACTCAAGTCCCTTTGGGACTTCAGAATCATTACCAAATTTCATGGGACTTTTTTGTAGTAATTTTTAATTTAGTCCTAAAATAAACCTTAATTCATTTTGTCTCTCATATTTATCTATTTTTAAGGTAGTCTTTATAGTAATTGCACATATTAAATTTTTCATCAAATAACACTTGATTAGTAAGGATATTTTTAAGAAGACAATAAATATTTATTATAAACAATTAATTTAACTAATTTTCTTAATATACTTAAATTAGTCAGTTAATTCTTATATTAAGAATAAGAGGTAGTAATAAATCTATATATAGTACAAAGGCATATGAATGGTACAAATTTTAAAAATTACATATTTAATAAAATTTTATTATTCATAAAATTTTGTCTTTGGTTAATAATATACTACCTCCGGTCCTAATTATAAGAGCCAGTTGACTAATTTGAGGAGATTAAAGAAGTAAATTGAATTAGTTATTTGTCTTAAATATGTGTTGTCTTTCCTAAAATATTCTTACTAATCAAGTATATTGACTAAAACTATCATTATTAAAAAGACTACTTTAGAAAAAAATGCATAAATATGAGAAGCAAAGTGGATTGGGATTTTATATTTAGGACCAAAATAAAAGTCAAATAGGGTCTTATATTAAGTACTGGAGGTAGTATAAGATATATGACTTTATTCTCTCATATGATCTCAATGTTATTATACACAATATATTATCTAACATATATGAGAAATATATAGTACTCCTCCGATCCTAAATATAAGATCTTTATACACACTAGCATAAGGGTCTTATGTTTAGGACCAGAGGAATATGTATTTACATGTGTGTCTGTAAAAAATAATTTGGCCTACCCCACAGAACGCGAACAATTGAAAAATAAAACAAGTATTTAAGGGGGTGTTTGGCAACTTCCAAACCATAGTTTCAGAAGCACTTTCTGCAAAACGAGACAAATTCCTCTGCATATTTACTTTATAAACCGTAAAAATACTTCTAAAATCATAATTTGGTTTTTATCCAAAAACCCTCTAAATAGTTTATTTTGATTATGCTTTTCTCATGTGAGCTGGTCATTTTTCGGCGGAGGGAAAAATTGAAGATGTATGCAAGCGGGGAGCGACGGGGAAAGAGGAATGCGTGACGCGTGAGGAAAGCTGAAGGGAGAGGGAGTTGGGTGAGGAGAAGAGAGCGGGGCGCATGGAAAAAAGAAAGAGAGGAATAGTGGGACCCATGGGTTGTAACTTGTCATTTTTATATTGGTCATACCATACGTTACGTGGCACTCCAACTTCACTTAAGAATTCCTCCTCCATACATGGTGGCGCGAAAAAAATTCATCTCTACCCTTATTTTGGGGCTCGTTTGGCATCACGTTTGGGGGCCCAAACGTGCGTCTCCATCAGGCTTCTGATGTGGCTGCGTTTTTGACCTGTTTGGATTCACAGTGGGCTAATCTGACTTCTGGAGGCTCAGATGGACTTATGGGAGAAGTTGATTTGTGGTGCTTTTTTTTGGAGGCCGGTGCGTTTGAGAAACTGTTGGTAGCATGTTAAATATTTTTACCTACCTGACCTTCTGCATGTTTTTGTCTGAGTTATATTAGCTAAAAGAAAAAAACCACACACGCACTCGGCACTCTCATTTTCAAACGCGATCTGAAGCTGAAAAAGGGAGCCTCGCTCACGACGTTGTCTTCTGCCATATCCCCGCTGTGCGCCTGCCGTCTCCCACCGTGTCTCTGCCGTCTCATCAGTTCCGATTCTTGTGTGGGAGTGGGTCGTTCGGTCGTTCGGTCAGTTCTTCCAGTTTGTTCGGTTGTTCTTCCTCTTCCTCTGCTCGGTTGAAGCCAGCGTCGCCGTCCATTGTCGCCACCGTCTCCTGCCGTGTCATCAGTTCCGGTTCTTGTGTGGGAGTGGGTGGATTGTGGCCGTTCGTTCAGATCCTCCAAATATCGTTCAGTTGTCGCTCTTCTCCCTCTGTTCGGTTGCATTCTAGGGTCGCCGTCCGTTGTCACTGCCGTCTCCCGTCTCCCGCCATGTCTCCACCATGTTCCACCGTCTCCTCTGTTCTGGTTCTTTTGGACTGTGGTCGTTCGTTCAGATCCTCCAAATACTGCTGGGTTGTTCGTTTCTTCCTCTGTTCGGTTGCAGGCAGTCCATCCGTTTTCACCGCCGCCGACCGTGCTCCTAATCCACAAGTCTCATTTGTTCAGCTAGTAAGAGATACGTGTTTTTGGTCCTAGATCTGCTGGTCTTCGATTCATGTTGTTGGCTGCCATTGGTAGATAATTCGGAGCCATAGCCTTATTGATTTTAGAAGTGTTGATCTGATGTTCTTGCTCTTGATCTGATGCTCTTTCAATTAATGTGGCCTGGCTGTCGAATGGTAGTAGTGTAGTAGGAAGAACTGATGGTAGTATGACCTGGTAGTATCGTAGGAGGCAGAACCGTTGGTCTTTGATTCTTCTGATGATGATTTGTGGTTCTGAGTACCCCTTTCCTGTTAATTATTTGTGACAAGCTCCGAAAAGTTGGCGTTTTTTTTAGTTTGAAAATGTGAAGATCAGTGTTTCAATTAATGTGGCGCTTATTGTTGATGAGTATGTTTTACAAACCTAAATATATATGATTCTGAGGTTATAATTCATAAATATTATATATATTAGATATTTCCTCTCATATTTATTTACAAGAGAAACATAAAAAGAATTTTGAAACATAAATATCTGATATTTTTTAGGTGTCTGCCTCTTGGGAAGTTGTTTGTAAAGTGCCTCTAATTTAAGATTGTTGAATTTGTATAATATTTCTGCATTGTTGGAAGAAAAGTGCTCTGGTTCATTGTAACTCCCTTTTGCATTCTTGATTGACATTTTTCAATAGAATTATGAACAAAGATAAAGGTAAGGCAAGCACCACAGAGGTGTTACTTAAAGAATGCATGGAGCAAATCTACCGGAAAAATCGTCAAGGAACATCATTTTCAAAGACTGGGTGGAACAACATTCATTCTGCATTCAATGCAAAAACAAGAAAATCATATGAGAGGAAGCAATTGAAAAATAGGCTTGATAACTTGAGGAAGGATTGGAGGACATGGGTTGATTTGAACAAAGAAACTGGTGTAGGTTGGGACCCTATAAACAATATAGTGGTGGCAACAAATGAGTGGTGGGAGAAGAAAAAACTGGTATATAATTGTTGATCTTGAGTTATGAACTGTGTTATTACTTGTTATAGGCTTTTTATTTTTGTTGATTGTATTCTTGCAGGAGAATCCCCAGTATGAAAAGTTTAGGTACCAGGGGTTAAAGTTTGCTCATGAATTAAACACGATATTCAAGGGTGTGATAGCATCTGGAGAGGATATGTTGGCACCGTCTTTAACCCAACCTCAGACACAAGAGGATGATGAAGAGAATGCGTATAGAGTTGATACAGATCTCCTTGAAGGATCGGGGGATAGCGAAGAAGATCTTGGAGGTGCTAGTGTAGGAGTTACGGATGAGATGGCAGGCGTAAACTTAACAGCAAATACTGCACCTAGTGGTTCAGGAAGCCATGGGAAGAGGAAGAGAGGTGAAGGGTCTAGCAGGCAAACAAAGCAAAAACTTCCAGCCTCATGACAAATAGCGGATTCAGTTAGTGAAATAGCTACTGCATCTAAGGATAGAGTTGCAACTCTTAAGAAAATAAGAGGTATCAATTTTTGAGGTTACGGCCGAAGTGCTCTGCCTTGAGGAAATTACAAGTGACTCTGATTTCCGGAACCAGTGCTTAAGACTTCTGTTGCACAAGAGTGTTCGGGAAATGGTTGTTTCACTAAAAGGACAACCATAATACTTGGTTGCATGGCTACAGGATATGGCATACAATCCACCATCATGGCTGAAACCCCCGCCTGCTTGAACTATATTTTAGGACGCATGTTATGATTTTATTTTGTCTAACTCGGACCAGAGTTGTTATTATATGTTTTTAAGTTAATGTTTGTGGAACTATGAAATTATGTAACTTGTTAACTGACTATGAATGTTTTGAATGTTTTTAAGTTACATGTGTTAGTTATAATGGTAATCGCAGCTTATGAATGTTTTTAGACTAATTTTTATGTCTTTACATGTTTAACAGAAAGAAATATTTATTTGCACATACCTAAAAATATTTATTTGTCGTTTAAAAAAATTCTTACAGTTGAATTTAACCACACTCACAGGTGACATTATCTATGGCAAATTGGAACAATCAATTTACGTTTGAGTGGATGGAGGAAGATGAACAGTCTGAAGAGGAGTCAGAGGAAGATGAACAATCTCAATTGATTTCCCTTTTAGATGAAGAGATAACACAATATGAAGAGGTAGCTGTATTGGTGAGTCAATATGTGATGCCTTATGTGTGCAAAGAGCCATGAAGAACTAGTCAGCAAATAGATAATTTATGGGTGCAAGAAATTTTACGAGATCATGAAATTCGGTGTTATGACATGTTTCGAATGGAAAAAGAAATGTTCATGCGATTATGCTCTAAACTGGTCGAACATGGTTTAAAAAATTCTAAGTATCTGGGAGTGGAAGAAAGTGTTGGTATGTTTTTGAACACGGTTGGTCATGGACAATGTAATAGGATGATTCAAGAAAGGTTTCAACATTCAGGAGAAACTGTAAGCAGGCATTTTCATAGAGTATTACAGGCTTGCCTTAGTCTATCCAGGAATATATCAAACCACTCGATCCTACGTTTTCTGTAACTCACCCAAAAATAAAAAACGATAAACGATATTCGCCATATTTCAATGATGCAATAGGAGCAATTGATGGCACTCATGTACGATGTGTGGTGAGTCTTTCGAAGCAAGACAAATATATCGGGAGAAAGGGATATCCGACACAGAATGTCATGGCTGTATGTGACTGGGACATGTGCTTCACTTTTGTGTTAGCAGGATGGGAAGGTACTACACATGATGCTCGTGTGTTTAACACTGCTGTCTCAACTCCAGCCTTGGATTTCCCTCATCCACCTCCAGGTATATTTTCAGTAGCTTCAATTTTAATTATATCGAATTCATATGATATTTTCATTAATTTCACAATGTCAACATAATTTCATGATTTATTAGGGAAGTATTATTTGGTTGATGCTGGCTATCCAACTCCACCAGGATATCTTGGTCCGTACAGATGTGAGCGCTATCACCTTCCAGACTTCAGGCGACAACCGGGATTTGAAAATTATAACGAAGTCTTCAATTACTACCATTCAAGTTTGAGGTGCACTATAGAAAGGACTTTTGGGGTGTGGAAAAATAAGTTTCGCATCTTAGATAAGATGCCAAGTTACAAGTATAAAACTCAAGTCCAAGTAGTTTGTGCTACAATGGCTATACATAATTTCCTCCGAAGAAATTCTGAAACTGATAGAGATTTCATAGAAGCTCAATCTGAAGGTACAATTGACGAAGACAATCATGATGAAGCTGGTGAGACATCCTCTTCAAATTTACCTAGATCAAGACAAATGAATCATGTGCGTGACACAATCAAAGACCAAATTGTATTGAGCATGGCATCCAATTAGTTATTTGATGTATTTAGTTTTAAAATGCTACGTATGTATGACCTCTAATTTACATATTTATCCATTACATATATTTAATTAAGTTTTTTATTATTTTTCAATTTCCTTCTAGTAATAACTTAATTTTTTTTATTTTTAATAAATTTTTTTTCAATACTTCTTTTAAAATGGTCACATTATATATATAATTTCTTTATAACAATAAATTAAATTTCCTTATTTTTAATAATTTTATTTTCATTACTTTATTTATGACAAATAGTCATATTATATATATAATTTCTTTATAATACTAAATTAAATTTCTTTACTTTTAATAATTTTTATTTTCCTTACTTCTTCACTTTTAATAATTAAATATCTAATATTAGATATGTGCTATTTAATAGAATTCATGTCCTTTTAAGTCATTTTACATTTAAACTTACTTTTACATTTATCATCCAAACAAGTTTCAGCTTCTCAAACTGACCTTTTTCTAAAATCCAATCCAAACATAAATCACATTACCCAATCTGACTTTTACTCCATCTGACTTTTGGAAAAGTCAGATTGAAAAAAAAGTTACTTCTTCACCGCCAATCCAAACACACCCTTAGTGTTCATGGCCGAGCGTAGAATCCTATAAAAAAAATTTTAAATTACTAAATGCTAAGAAATTTTTACAAAAAATATATTTTTATTTACAAGTTAAGTGTTGTTAAAACTTGTTAAAGTGTAAGAACTTATTTGGATTCAGTAATTTCAATTTTTTTTAATTCTCCCTTTTTCCTTTCTAATGGGCACGTTTTATATTGTTTTTTCACAATAGAATTTTATAGTAAAAAATTACATACAAATAATTATGTATTCAATAATAATTCTTATCATTTATTTAAAATAGAAAAATAAAGTTAAAACTAAAAATTGGCTAAAGTATACATTTATTCTCTTAATTTTATACAATGTTTCAATTTAATTCCTTAACTTAAAAATCATATATTAACCCTAAAATTATTAGGCTTAGATTATGATTTTTTATAACAATCAAAATTGTTTTAAAAATTAAATTTCATATATTAGCTTTTGAAAATATTTTATTAACATTTAAGATCTTAATGTCATCATTTTTTTAAAACAATTTTAGGATTAAAGGTTTAAAAGTATGCTTTTTAAAGTTAAAGAACCAAATTAAAGCTCTATAAAATTAAAGAACTAAATATATACTTTAGCTATAAAATTTCCCAAGAGTATAATAAATAATAAAGTGTATTATCTTTTAAACAAAACTTCTAAGAATAGTGATTAATTTAAAAAATAATCTTTAATGAGAAGTCTAAAGCCACATATCCTTGCTCCAATCGTATTGAGTGGAGCAATTAGCCAGTCATGACGCTGGACAATAATGTTGGGTTAATGATGGCTTGCATCCAGTCATGACGCTGGACAATAATATGGGGTTGATGATGGCTTACACGCAGCCAAGTAATATACTTATTGTTTATAGATTAACTATTAATTATGAAATATAATTATATTTACTCAATTTTGAACAAATAACTTGAATAAAATAAGGATAAAATTGTTCATGGAAAAATTTCTCCTCTCAGAACAAACAAAATAACATTAAAATTCCTTTGTTCTATTAAAATCCTTTCCCTCCTCTCTTTTTTTCTTCCCTCCATTAAAATATCTTCATTTCCCTCCCTCCTTAAACCAAACAAACCCAACATATACTTTGCCGTACCAGTACCACTATAAATAATTTGGATGTTCAGTTCCCCCCCTTTTTTTTGGCCATTCAGCATCAATATATCTTTTTTTTAAATTAAAAGACAATTTTATTCATGATAAGTAAAAAGATTACATATAAAAAGTCAGCTAATCATGCATAATTAATTTGAGCAAAGCTCAAATAAACCATAAGAAAAGGCAAGGCCACCACTAAAACTAAGACAATAAATCGCAAAGGAAACTGAAAAATAAAGGAACTTAATAAACAAAAAAAAAAAAAGCATGCAACATAGGATTCTACCAATCGAGACCCAGGCTTGTGCAAAGTTATCAGAAATGCAATGGTAAGCAATTAATGAAGTCCTCGCTCTTATCGAACAAACCAGAAACAATTCCTCCGTGCAAGCTCCCGTATAGGAGTTAAACGTCAAAGGCAGAGAAGGTCTTCAAGAAGAAGATAGTCGCAACAATCCCAGTCGCAAGAGAAAGCAGTTTGAAATAGCAGCCAAAGACAAAGTGTTGCTGAAGAACAAAGGTTGACAACATGCAATCAATAACTAAACTCTTAAAAGAACAGTTTCGGTACTCATGATTTTGATGAGTATTCTAAACTCATCAGATTTGGACTATCTGTGTTTGATTTAAATAGTTCAGATTTAAAATCTTTAATTGATTATTTTTAAATAGAAATTTTTTTAAAAAACAATGATAGTTAAGAGATTATCCTTATTTTAAATTCTATACATATTAAAACAATTATTTTAAATAAATAAAAATAAAAATAATAAAATTTGGACCATCCAAATGAGATATGAAATATTCAGATCTGATGAGTATAAAATATTCATCAAAATGATGAGTACTGAAACTGAGTCCCGCTCTAGCGCTTCTCCAAAGCATGAATGTTGCACAAGGAGGGAACAACCCAAGCATGAAGGAAGGCAATCGACCACATGCAAGGCTAGCAAAAGTGCAATTTGAAAGACCATTTAGGCCCTGAAACTCCCGAACGAGAGAGTTTGCTATTGAGAGAAGAACTCAAAAGCAAAGAAAATAAACTAACACCAAGGTCAGAAGCTGCTGAGGCATAAAGCTGCCGATTTTACCCTTGCATGAGCCCCATGAAATCATACCTCTATGAGGCAAATCTTTTGACAGAAGATTCGCAAAAACCCAGCAATTCAAGATCCTCACTAGGACCTTCGTATCCCGAGTTGCAAGAATGGCGCCTCAACGACGTTTACCACACCCCTTCCTCATCTCACAGGACCATCAGAAAAAGGCCGAGATGAGCACATATAACGATTCAGACTTTCAAATGCATCGTTAAGGGCCAACACTTCATCTCATGGTACTATATATGTTTCATGTCCCTAAATGCAAGTGATTTGGTGATAAGGAGCAACTGCCATCTCCACTTATATTTATATAATTCTTGACTAATAAGCATGAAACGAGGTCCAAGGAGTCGTGCTTCATAATGGCCTTTTGCTCCCCATTGTATATTGTGAAAAAGCAAATGCAGTTCCAGTAAGTAGGAAACTCGTCATGGCGAGAAGATCACAGGCTTTATCAGACTGAGAATAGCAATTAGAGAAGCTATGTGAGTGCCAATTTAGACCCTCATATTTGGCGCACTTCAAACAATGAACAGTAGGCTCTATTACAAAACATTTGTGTTTCACCGTTGTCCTCATTTCGATCGACCAAAGAACCAGCAACTGCATTGAGAGATGACTTAGGGTTTCACAGATCGTGTCACTGGCATAATAGCTAAAGGATTGGATTTCGCATATGGGCTTGAAGAAAAATTTTCAACCCAAATAAGAAGCCCTATAGCCCTTTGATAAATCCACCTACTATTAGCATACGTGATGTGACTTGATTGAGGGCCCACACTTTCAAGATGGAAGATTTGATGATGGAACCGGTTTCAATACCCATCAACTTGAAGAGCATCCTAAACTTAACAGATCTGGATCGTTTATATTTGATTTAAACGGTTCAAATTTAAAATTTTTAATTAATTATTTGTAAATAAAAAAATATTTTTTGAAAGAATGATAGTTAAGAGATTATCTCTATTCTATACATATTAAAATAATTATCTTGAATAAATAAAAATAAAATAATCAAATCTGGACCATCCAAATGAGATATAGATGATTCAGATCTGATAAATTTAGAGTACTTATCAAAATATGAGCAGTAAAACTGGTTCTATTTGATCATGCATTGACTTACCAGTAGTGTCCCCTCCATACCGCAATCACGCCACAGCCTTTGCATGTCCTAAAAAATAAAAACAGACAAGGGAAGCAATTCACCTGATCACAGCTGGAAATTGAGGAGAGGAGGAAAGAAAAATCAATTCGAATGGAAGCTTTAATTCTTAATCCGCCATAAGAGAACGTTGACAAATATCATCAAACTCTTAAAAAAACACCAAACAAGCAAGAAATCTCCTTTGCCCATCGTGTAGAAGTCAATAGGAAGGCCTAAAATCTGTATCCAAACATGCATATAAGAAAAAGATAATCTGGTAACAGGCATGTCAAGCTTCCATTCATAAATATTTTTTTATATATTATATTTTATTATAAGTAATTTATTTTCTAATTCACCAACAATAGTTGTCCATGGTGTCAGCGGCAAAATAGTGTTCTTTAATTCTAAGGGCCTTTGGCTCGATGGCTTGATTCCCCTGTTCTTGAAACTAAACGATTTTTTTCTCAAATTTTAGATAAAACATTACAATTTTAATTTTTAAATGCTAAAACCCAAAGTAACCCACCCTTTTTCACTTGACAGAAAAATAATTGTTAGAATTTGGAAATCCTCAAACAAGAATTTCCCTTTTAGTCTCACATGACAAAATGGGTATTTTATAATCGTAGGGAATGGTCATACTGTCCTTTTGAATTTTTTTTAAGAAGAATCTGAAGCCCCCCTCACTGCCTGACCAATCGCTGGAAACTCAACAGGGATCGTTGGTTGTCGTTGGTGCCCACGCTACAATGGCCGGCCGGCCGATGAGCAAACTTAGGATTTTTTTTTTTAAAAAAAAATTATAAGAACAATATGGTTATTCTATCAAATTATAGTAATCCCATTTGGTTATATATGTGACTAAATGAGAATTTCTCTTATTCATGTCATTAGTTGGAGATTTCCAAATTCAATAATAATTTTTCTCTCATTTTCCAATTTTTTTTTACATGAAGTAATTTTAATAATTATTCTTCTTAATTTCTCACCCGATTTGGCCATTAAAAATATTTTTGAAGCTCTAACTCTTACGATAACTTTTTTGGCCCTCATAAAGACTTATTAACCTATTTTTCCATCGCCTTAGAATTGGGATGTTACACTGGATCTACATTAATTGGAAGGTGTTTCGCCAACTGCTCCCACTATTTTATTTTATTTTAGTTTTATAACTTACTCATACGTAGGCTTTAGTCAGGCGTTCTGATGATATAACATTATAAAGTCAAAACTGAGGGCAAAAAAACTTGTAAATTGATAAGCGCTGCATTCATTTAATCTTTTATATACAAAACGACTCGATCACCACTTCGGCCATGGAACCGTTGCCAACAAAATATTGAATCATTTCAATGTTCGAGCTCTACGCTTTCCACAAGATGCGTCATAATTCTATATTGAGGTCGGTGATTCGCTAACGTGACAGTCTCCATTTAATAATCGTTCTTGAATTTGACGTGTGAGTTCTTTATGTCCGACATTGTTTGGAGTTTACGAAAATCAAATCAAATTTACTAGTGGAATTGAGATATCAAAGAGTTATGAAAAATATATATGTAAAAAACAATATCACTTTGGCATCGTCTGCAAAAATTATGTGAGTTAGGTGGAGAAAATTTTTAATTTTTCTTGGAGTTCCCTACAAAGCATATTACACACACATACATCATGCACATATTACCCCTTATCCTAATTATAAGAGCTAGTTGATTAATTTGAGTAGATTAAGGACATAAGTTAAGTTAGTTATTTATGATAAATATGTGTTATCTTTACTAAAATTCTTTGCTAATCAAGTGTGTTGGCTAAGACTACTATTATTAGAAGGACTACATTAGAAAAAAAGTGTAAAAATATTAGAGACAAAGTGGATCGGAGTCTTATATTTAGAATCAAAATATAAGTCAAACGAGATCTTATATTAAGGACAGGAGGTTGTATTAATTAATATTCATCCAAGGCTGTTAAGTGACTTTAATTTGGTGTAAAAAAGCTTTGTGATTACGGTGTAAGGAAGTCCATCCAATATTTTCCTTGTAAATTTAGGCTAAATTGTATGTAACTCTATACTGTATCAAATCAATTTTAGTTTAATTAAGGGGACCAGGTCATATAAATAATGTAAGGTAATATTGAAATTGCAACTATATATATCATATCATAAAGGTAAAGTAGTGCCAGCACCTTGATCATGTTTCTAAAAGTGCATCCAACAGCTTGATCAATTTTTTATGGTACATCCAGTACCCTAATTTTTTTTTCCCGGAATCCAACACTCTAATCATATTTTAGTGCATCTAAAATACTAAAGATTAAAGCACTGAATGTAATTGAAAAAATAATCAGGGTGCTATTTGAATCAGAAAAATAAGATCAGGATGCTAAATACACATGTAAAATAAGATTAAGGTGATAAATGCATCTTGACCTTATCATAAAAAGTACTATTGTAACTTAGGAAGCAAAACTATGATTAGAAAATTTGAGTTCAAATCAGAGTATCATATGTAGTCTGCATATGAAAGATACCCAGTGCACCAAATTTGAAAAATGCCATAGTGAGTGATGAAAGGTGAACCTTGCGGAATCTTTACTAAATCAAACGAGTCAAATAAGCCACTCCTACACTTTAATTTATTGATCCAATGTCAGGCCCGAAGGATCAGTCTCTTACGTGGGAACACTAAGCATGTGACAGCAATTCCAGTAGTCTTTTGGCTCATACGTCTCTCCACGTGCGCGATTGTGAATTTGTTATGGATTCCCTAAAACTCAACGAACTTGACGACAAAGAGTTGCTATAAATAATGGAAGCTTATGACCTATGATCACCAGCGTTCCAATGGCTGAAACTTCCCTCACAAAAAGCCACTCAAATGTTGAGTTCAACGACATGGTTTACGATGAAGAGTATGAAAATCTTGGCCAAGAATATAAGGAACTGGTTCTCTCTCTTCCCAGAGAGAAAGGTTGGGTTTCTTCATACATTTATCTCAACCAAGAACTTTGGTACGGAGCAACTCAAATTCAAGCCATAAGCTTATTTCACAAGCAGTTCCAAGCCAAAGATAGTGATATTATTATAGCATCTACACCAAAATCAGGAACTACTTGGTTAAAGGCCCTTGTTTTTGCTATTGTGAATCGCAATTGTTTCTCTCCCTCTCAAAATAACCATCCTTTGCTCATTTCCAATCCTCACGAACTTGTTCCTTTCTTTGAGTTTTACGTTTGTGAAAATAACCAGATACCTGACCTCTCCGACTTGCCTGAGCCAAGACTTTTTGGTACCCATGTTCCATTTCATTCGTTACCCGATTCAATTACCAAGTCCAAATGCAAGATAATATATATTTGTCGCAACCCATTTGACAATTTTGTGTCTTTTTGGTTTTTCTACAACAAAATTGTACCACCACCATTACGCAAATTATCACGTGAGGAAGCCTTTGAGAGGTATATCAAAGGGAACATGGAATTTGGTCCATTTTGGACAAACATTTTGGGTTATTGGAAGCAAAGCAAAGAGACACCAACTAGGGTTCTGTTTTTAAAGTATAATGACTTGAAAAGAGATATCAAGTATCACTTGAAAACAGTGGCTGACTTCTTGGGTTTTGCATTTAGCATGGAGGAGGAAAGTAATGGTGTCATTGAAAGCATCAGTGAGTTGTGTAGCTTTGAGAAAATGAAGGGATTGGAGGCAAATAAGACAGGAAAAGTTTTTCAAAGGTATGAAACAAAGAACTTTTTTAGGAAAGGTGAGGTAGGAGACTGGGTGAATCATTTTTCTCCTTGGATGGAAGAGAGATTGTCCAGAGTGATAGAAGAGAAGTTGCGCGGATCTGGTCTGTCCTTTTGATTGTTGCCTTCTTCAACCTTTTAAACCAGATAAGCCTATGATAATATCTTCTTGCAGAGAATATACTCTGTATAATGTACCCATGAGCCAATGTTAGACAATTGAATGTTTGGCTTTCTACAATATGTGGACCAGGTGATTTTTATTTTTATTTTTATTTATTTTTCATGTATTATTAAAATTTTCCCTTTGCAATAAATTTGAGTGCAGTTTTACCAAAAAGCGCATAGCTAAACTAAACAGAGTGCTATTCCTTTTTTTTTTTTTTAAATACAAAAGAGTGCTGTTCAAATTTGGCTTGTTTTCCCAAGTTTGAATCCTAAGTATGTAATTGCATTAAATACTCGTTTAAAAAAATGATATTTCTGATAAAGTTTTTTTTCTTTGTTTAGGAATCTTAATTAACTCCTACTCTCATCCTCTTTATAGGGCGGAGAGAAAAAAATTTTATGCAAACATACAATCTTATCTTTTATTTATTATTATGTTAATTTTGTTTTCTAAGGGTATAATGTATATTAAATAATGATAAAGTTAAAAAGTTGTTAAATTCTAAAAGAGAATTAGTAAAATTTAACGTTTTTCTTAATCCATGTTTAACATTTTAAAAATGACTTATAAATATAGGACCACACATGCACACTTATATGTACCCCTCTGGTCCTTTTTAATTGTCACTTGTAATAGTTTCTCATATACCGAAGAGATCATTAAATACATAAAAATTTTCACTTTTACCCTTATTAAATTCTAGTATATTTTTTCTCACCTATTCCCTCTCTCTTCACATTTACATTTGTCTCCCTTAATTAATAGGGTTGGAAATGAAGCATTAAAAAAGATACAAGTGACAAATAAAAGTACCAAAATCTCCTCCTACAAGTGACAATTAAAAAGGACCAAGATGGTATAAATGTTGTTAGACAGGAAATCACTCAAGAAGGGGTGAATTAGGTGACAATAAAAATCTTAACTTTAAATAAAAATTAAACTTAAATAACAAAGATAGAGTTAACAAGATATCACAAAAAGGATTTGAGAGTGAGAAGAGATGCAACATACATCGATTGATACTAGTTTGTTCCTAACACGTAGGGTGTGTTTGGATTGGTAGTAACAAAATTGAGTTTTATTCTAACTAACTTTTATAAACTGAAGTTACAGTAAAATCAGTTAGTGTAATGCATTTATGTTTCGATTGGTATTTATAAACAATCAGTTGAAAAAGCTAAAACTTGCTTGGATGATTAATAAAAAAGTGAGCTTAGTTGTAAAATGACTGAAAAAGGCATGAACTTTATTAAATAGTAGTGTTTGATATTATATGTTTTTAATGTGATAATAGTTAAAAAATACCTAAAATTATTATGGTAAAATAACAATAGTTTATTTGTGAAATTATAAAATAAAAATGTTTGTTACTGAAAAAAATTTAAAAATACATTGTAGATAATTATTATGATAAATAAAAGAGGACCTCAGATTTATTTATTTATTTTTTAAAAAAAAAGAAGAGTAAAACGGGCGTTTTCATTTAGGGCATGGGGATGTCATCATTATCATCTTCTCACGAAGTTGGAGGGAGCAGAACGGCGGAAGGATGAGGATTACTCACCATCTACCAACGCACGCCACACCCCCGCAACCATCACCACCTTTTCCCTCCTTCATCGTCTTCGACAGCAAGTGGTAGAGCAGGACACGAGACCATCATTCCCTTCCACCGTCACCATCGCCATTCATCACCATTCTCAACCTTCTTCATCGTCTTCAACGCGGAGAGGACTGAGGCAGAGAGACGGCGGGAGTAGAGCTTGAGCGAGATTGACCGTCAATCATTCACCCTCATCCCCACCGAGCACCTTCATCATCGACACAAAAACAGGGGAGGCAGTAAGTAGCGACCTTCACTATCTGAGTAATCGCCGGCGAGTCTGTAGCATCATCGGCGCGAGTGAGGGAGGGAGAAGAGTGGCAGGGGGAGTGATTCTGAGGGAGGAAGCAACGAGAACACTGAAGGAGAAGAGGGTGAAGACTAAGGGGAAAATTTGAGGGGCATATTTGATAGGTAACATTTGCAATGGTCATTTAATACTGTCTAACAGTAGATTACATTTTAAAACGTTGAGAAGTCCGAAAATTGAGCGTTGGAACGCACTGTCATTTTGCCCCATAATTTGGTCCATAAGTCAGTTAGCATAAAAGCCCATCCAAGCAATCAATTATACCCAAATAAACTACAAACCTTAGTTTCACACTTTTTCATGTGCTTTTACCATCACAAGCAGCAATCTAAACACTGCCTTAATCTATATTCAGTTTCCAAGTTTCACCTGAGAGTTTCACTGTATTTCCAAAATTCAATGACTCTTGGCGCCTGAATACAATCCCTCGAGTTTTACCCAGGTATTTGAAAAGCTTCACAATCTCTCAAGTTTCACATAGGTAACTGAAAACCTTTACAACCACTTCTGATAGCTCTGCAAGTATACAGAATCGATTTAATAGTAAATCTGAGTATTTTGGGGTCATCCTTAGGGAGGTAGTTATGTTTTTACTAATTCCAATAATTAATAATTAAAGAAGCTGCAATAAAATAAATTATTTAAAAAATAAATTGAAAAAAAAAGCAACAGATAATTAATTATAAGAAGAAGCTAATCGCTCAAAGTGTTGGGGTTCAAGATTTACTCTATAGGCGGCTAGTTTCTACCATCTGAGTTGAATATTCACTTATACTAACAATTATTCTTAGAGTATAAGAAGCTAATCGCTCAAAGTGTTGGGGTTCAAGATTTACTCTATAGGCGGCTAGTTTCTACCATCTGAGTTGAATATTCACTTATACTAACAATTATTCTTAGAGTATCTTAATATTCTCCCAAATTATTAAAAGGACAATTATATTGACATATTTGTCCCGAAAAGTTTTTGCTTAAGAGTGCCAGCACCTAGAAGTTTTATTGGATGTAAATTTACCTTAAAAATTTAAAATCATAGCAATTTGCCATATATTGTTAAAAGTATTAACAGCCAGTATTACTATTTTAATGGTCAACATTAATTTTTTAGCGGTAAGGGGAAAAATTGCTATAATTTTAAACTTTTAGAAGCAAATTTGCATCTAAAAATTTTTTGGACACCAAGCATTCCTGAATAGAAACTTTTAGCAGTTAATTTGCAACTCAACCCTTTATTTTATTGTATATTATCTGCAAAATAGAAAATATACGAAGACATTTTGTGAAAAAATTTCTTTTTGTCCTGAAAGTTAGATTTGGAAGAAAAATATATAAAATAAATTGAATAGGTATAAAATATCTATATATTTAATCTAACATCTTCTAAAATTTACGCCACAAAATCTCCAAAATTTATTACTTATCAATTAACCTCAAGTTTTCTACGAGTTTTTGGAAACCGCTCTGCTTGCAACCTATAAGGTAACAACTCCCTCAACAATGGGCTATTAATACAATCAAGAATTCCATATGATGAACATAGACACACACATGTACCTATGTTGCGGCCTATATACGTAGCAATATTGTTCCCACACGCAAACAAATGAGTCTCCGCCCGTCATTTATACCATAATCCCATGCAGTACACTTCATTTACTAAACATATAACATAATCTTTGGTCTTCAGACCGTCCAGAATTTCGCACTAACTCCATGTATCACTGTCCCATTCGTCCCATGTTATTTTTTGGCCATGAACATGTTGTATAACACGTGATCTGACCTATAATCCCCTATGATTCGCAATTCAGCTTTATATATACATATAAGAGCTAGCTGTAAATTCAATTTGCTCATAAATATAAAAACTCAATTTATTTTGTCTACCATATTTATCCATTTTTGCTACAAGTAAATTCTATGGTGATTGTACATGTTAAGGGGTTCCCATTAAAAAGTAGTTATCAACACATGATCAATAAAGATATTTTAGAAAAGACAACACATATTTATTAGAAATAACTAACTTAATACATTTTCTTAATATTAGTAAATTAGTTATCTAGTTCTTATATTAAAGGTTCAAAGTAGTATATAGAATATAATATGCCATCAAATATTGTAAATTAAAACAAAAATTAATTTATTGCTATTAAATATTGTTTCAGCAATTATCTCTCATACTTATCATTAACTGCATTTAATTTTTGTAGAATTAATTAATAAGCTTAATAAGAAACAATACTATAGCATATTTTTGTACATTTTAGGCATAATAAGTATATAAACATACACTCGTACCATTGACATCCTTGGTTTTGTTTTGTGATGCTCCACAAAGAGAATGGAACCAATAGACGTCATTATTAATGAGGGCAAAAACAATGAGGGTGCAATGATAACTACAAAATACAAATTATGCTAATTACAATTCTGTGTATATAATTTGTATGTCTCAAATACAATAATATACTTACCCTTTAATGTAAGGTGCAAAATATAATTTCTTCTTCATTTGGGTCATTATGGTCATTATTTAGATCGACCTCTCCTCCACGGTGTTTATCATTTGCTACACTTTTTGAGGACATATAAAGTCATATGTAACTGAAAGTCTTTTCTCCCTTCAAACGCGAATAAATTGTTTGTTGTTCAAATAAGAAAAGTTAGGAGTACATAAGTATAACATAAAATAAGAAAATAATATTATAATTTGTAAAATGGCCAGCTACGTGAAGCCTATATCTATCTTCTCAAAGTTAAGGAACTGAAGAAGGTTTTTTTGTCAATAGTAAAGTCATATGTTAAATCTGAACTCATAACCTCTGGCGGCATTTTGAAAGTAAGTGGCTACTCCATTTGTTGCATCATAGAATGAAGAATCGCAAAACTTCCATATAGAACCTCAACACCTTCGTCAAGGGGCTTGAGGATCGAAGCTTGGTTCTTTGTCACCTTCACCATTGTCGCTTTCTTTGTTATTAGTATTGGCTTTTCAATAAGTCTTCTTGGCCACAAAATGAAATTTCCTTTCAC